ACAGGGCAAGTGATGAAGGTCAATCGCAGTATACACAAATCATCATACCAGGACATGCAAAAACATGTAAAATATAAAACTTTAAGTAAAATATTACACGGAAATTAATATGCCTTATTTGACAGACTGAAATATGGCCCGCATTGACATAATTGTTTAAATCTCTCTTAGGGCTGATGAATATATTTCAGAAATTCCTGCCAATTATCTGGTTTTCGTTTGATTGCCACAATATATTTTGATGGCCATGTGGACTATTTGATAACGGGCAATGCATAGTGGGATACATCCCGATCGCCAGGATCTCTGGAGAGTGCAACATATCTCCTTTGCGACAACAAAGTATCAACAGTTCCGTAGTTACTATCATGATTGCTCATGTTGGTATTACATATCGTTTTGCTAAATTGTCATGGCCCTTTGCCGCGCCGAAGAGTTTTTCCATGTCATCTTGGCGAAACGATTAGAAAACTGGCAATTAATTTTAGAGTAGCAACTGAACGATACTGTCTAGGCAAAAACATACTGCAATTTGATGGGAAATCATGCAGTGCTTACTTTGAAAATATCAGCTCAGTGCTCTATTATTTGAAATTGATACTGATTCATATAGTAGGTCATAATTTCTTCAGATAACTCTAGCATGCAGCGCAGTTTGGTATGACAAACTAACTAGTCTTTCGAGCTCTGTTTAGCAACATCCACTGGACGACTGGCTTCAGTCTTGGTTTGGCTCGCTTAATGAGACTGTTTCAGTGTCATTTTCAATATCTTGAACATCTCTGTAGACATCTTCTGCACTGGGACGCTGTTTTGGGTTATAATGAAGCATAGAGCGAACCAACTCTCTCCTTCTTCGTGGGTTGACGCCGCTCAAAGGAAGCTGTATGTTGCGATCCAACTTGAGTGCCTTCCCAAAGCCATGCTTTTCGCCATTAACAGTAACCATTCCCACGAAATATTTCTCACCTTCAAATATTTCATAACTAAGGGTTTGAATAACGTAGAAAATGACACCAAGAGAAAAGACATCTGCCGTGTTTTTATAGTGGCAATTAAAAAGTTCAGGCGCAATAAATAGCGCTGTTGCTGGACTTACTGGTGTTTTCCGCTTTAAGCTCATGAAATACATTTTCATGTAGGACACATAATCTTGATCTGAAGCAGTTTCATCACCTTGTTTTAGAGCTGTATATTCTCTTGCCAGACCAAAATCTCCCAACTTGATCGAATCTGTCGAAGTCAGAAAGACATTTTCTGGTTTTAAATCACGATGGACGATGTCTTGTGAGTGAAGGAAACGTATGGCGTCGGCCAGCTCGCTCATCCATCGTAGTTTTCGGTCTTCGGTGATGCCTGCCCTCGCTAAGCGTTTATTGAGGTTCCCTCCTGAGCAATACTCCATAAGAATAAGGGCTTGGGAGCCAACAATTTTGACATCATACAAAGTAACAATGTGCTGGTGCTTTGTACATCTCGCTAGCATATTGACTTCTCTACTCTGCAGACTTTCAATCTTCTCACCCGATACATCAATGTTCTTTAGAGCGAAGAGTTGGCTAGAACCTTGCTCTCTAACCTTAAAAACCTGTCCAAAGGCACCTTCACCAAGATTTGTTTCTTGCCAAAGGTTACGTTTCCCCAGTGTAAATGACGTTGGTTGCGTGTCGGCGTTAGGATACATGATGAAATGCTCTGAAGTTTGAATTTTTGAATATGTTCAGAAATGAACTTCCTAGAACGTGGCGTACCGATGCAGGGAAATTCCGGCCGAATCAAACTCCAAGATGGTGGCTGTTGGGGAGTTTGGCCTGGTGAAGTTTCATTGACACATGATAACATCACTCACCACTCACCAAGAAACTAGACCCTTTATGCAGGGTTGACACGTACCCTTTGTTGTATCATGATGTTGTGAAATCATTTTCTTAATGATACAAAAAAAAAATGATTTGATCCTTCGAGCCTTGCCAAGATATATGTGATTTTTGCGATAAGCTTATATGTGGTGGCTCTTAAAATTTCAGCTGTACCCGCCTTTGTGATTGTTCAGTATAATTTTAAGGTCAGATATATAACTAGGCACGAGTTATTAGTTACAACGTGACGCTTTATTAACTTTCTGTTATGATGGTAACACAATATTTTTACATATCTACATTAAAAAAAATCGACATATCCATTGCAGATGTTTGAATAGCCATAAAATTGTTAAGCATTTTCTATCTAAAGAGTTGTGTTGATGTTCATTCATAATAAGCGAGTAGAGAAAATAACTGATATACAACTAAATCAAGCCGCCAATGGCAACACAACTCGAAGATTGATTGTGCAGACGAATACAGAAAGATATAATGATGAATCAAATTATAATTACTTAACGAATAGAATTTTAAATAAACGATTTATGAATATAGTTTTATAATTCAACTTCGGTTCTGGATAAACACAAGCGAGCGCCGGTGAGATTAATACCACTCGAGCTACAACTATGAGTAAATGCTGCCACGACCAGAAGCGCTACATCTGGGATCCGAAAAACAAATAAAATCACCGCAAGTGTCAAAAAACAATAACAACTAAATCCCTAAGAAAACTTGGAGTTCAATTATTAAGCAAACAATATAAATTTCAATGTTGGTGGGCGAAAAAAAATTGAGTTTGCCTAATAAAAATTATTCGCAAGGAAAACCAGAATACCAGAGCAAAGGTGAAGCAAATCGACGAATACTAGTGATCACATGATCACGTGGGCTTCCAACATAAAGAGCTTAAAGTTACATTATGGCTTCATTTCTCCACATTCATTACTGATGAAATTACCCAAAAACTACTAAGTTTGACTTTTGTTTTAGCCACAAATATGTAAAATTTGCGATCTTTGGGTAAATGCTGCCACCTCTAGTAGCGCTACATCTGGCAGCGAAAGCTGACGCAAAAAAAATCACCGCAAGTGTCAAAAACCAATAATAACAATCGAKGTCGCTAGTCCAATTAAATCAAACAAAACTTCAGCAAATAGCCAAATAGATATTTACTTAAATTGGATCATCAAAGAATTTGTGGTTTAACCGTATCAACGATTACAATTGATACGGTCAATAGACAAAAGATGTTTCATTGAAAGTTTAGTGTGGTTTTAGTGTGTCAAAAAACAATTTTGTTTAAAAAGCAATATCACATGTTATTACCATGAAACAGTCAAATAGTATCCGCTTTAACAATTAAGGCTAAAGGGACAATTTCTTTTAAAAAATATCTTAATCTGTCGGAGAGAGAAATTTGTGTTTTTGGTACATTTATGTTCAAACCTAGATAACAAAGAAACTGTCCAAGTAAGTCCGCAATGAAATTTTGGATTTGTATCTAGAAGCAACAGATGTGCCGTTACAGATGCCTGTAACACATGCCTATATTATGCAAAAAACACTTTCAAATTGAATTCAGATAGTCTTTGAATGTTGATGTATAAGGAGTGCAAGAATATTAACTTGATTTTAGAAGATGTCAAGCAACTGTTATCCCTCCTTTGACGCACAGAACACACAAGATTTGGTTGAGGAAAACTAGTTTCGTCTTTACTAGAGCTTTTCAATTCCTCGATCTACAACTGTTGTGAATTGAAAATTAGTAAAGTCGAAACTAGTTTTCCTCAACCAAGTCTTTTGTGTTCTGTGCGTAAAAGGAGGGATATAAGTATTTTAACATCCTCTAAAATGAAATATCAAGATGAACTTGGGTTCTCGATAAGCACGGGCCAGCATCTTCGTACAATTATTTTCAAAACGACGAATTTGGAGGATCGTTCTTCTTTGTTGCTTCAACCTTTGTGACTGAACGGTAAGACGAATCAAATTATGATTTACTTTACAAATATAATTTTAATGTGAATGATTTATGAATACAGTTTTTTTTTTTCACTAAAAACTAATTATTTTTAACTTTGATTCTTGACAACCAGGCACCTGCACTTCAAAGACAAGAAGCTAACCACAATTATACGCGTGGCCGAATGGAAGTGCCTTCGATTTCTAAGACCCGTCTACACGAGCAATTTTTATGTGACAACTATATGTGACATATTTTTTGTCCGTGTTGACAGGCAGCCAGAAATTATTGTTGAAGACTCGCGCCAACTGTGATTTTGCACAGCGGAGATGTCACAAAATAAATTTAATTACACTAGAGAGTAGAGTAGAGTAGAGTAGCACTAGAGATAATGAAACTTTAAAAAATACGATATATTTTTTAATATTTTTTTTTTAATATATTTTTTTAAATATATTTTTTATTTTTATATTTTATATTTTTATATTTTTTTAATCTTAACATGTTTCAGAAGAATGAGGATGGCATAATGTAATGCTGAAACATGTTAAGATTAAAAAAAATATATCGTATTTTTTAAAGTTTTATTAAAACAAATTTAGTTGGTGTTAGCTCTTGCAACAACAATAATACCATTCTCTCTGTCGAATCCAGTCGTTCTGCTTACTATCGGTGTCGCCATCTTGGTTGGTGTGCAAAATGTTGAGACTTGGATTCAGTGTGACGTCGAAATAATTGCCACATTTATGTGACGCTTGTCCACACGGGAAATTACCGATATGACAATTACATAAAAACTAGCATGCCAGCTTTCCAGCAACTACAGTTTTCACATAAAATTTGTCCAATTTTGCTCATCTACCGCGGCCAATTAAAAATTGTCACATAAAAATTGCTCGTCTAGACGGAGAGGTCTGAAGTTCAAGACTCAGAGGAGCTGACATTTCTTTAGATTTCTTTCTTTGCCAAAAAAATAAATAAATTCAATCAAATATAGAACAAGGAACCCGGTAACGGTAACTTAATGAGAAAATTAATAGAGAACAATGAGAATAAATAAATAGTTTTGAACACAAGTAACGCAGGCTCAAGTTTACAGGAAAGTGAGTGAGTGAGTGAGTGAGTGATTGAGTGAGTGACAGATTCGTCCCCCTCCAATAACTCTTCGATTGCTTCGCAATCTTCGAGTTAAAAAGGGTTCACAGCCGTTGCCGTCGCTTCCATAGGCCGCCTAACTATTACCCTGCGAGCAGAGTGTATTTCCTTACCTCAATAAAAATTCGCGAAGGAAAATATTTCCTTCGCGAATTTTTATTGAGGTAAGGAAATACACTCTGCTCGCAGGGTACCTAACTATACTTTAGAGACAGAAAAGAACAGCGGAAGCTACACTATTGTAGGTTTACTGCAGTGTTTTACTATAACCAGACATGCCGCCGACACATAGCACTCAATTCTGACCATTATTCATAGAATCTAATCGTGGCATATAGAGCGGATTTCGTATGAGTGGGAAACGGACGATACTGTACTGTGACCGTAACCGTACTGTAACCAAATTCTAGTGCTCCAATGGTTCACCAAAATTGTGCAGGCCAGGTCTGGTAACTGTGTGGTAACCGTGCGGTAACGGTGTCCCACGAAATCCGCTCTAATAAACTAGACGGCACTGTGCGTGACTCGCGCTGTACTGGTCCAAAGCAAAGTATTTTTTAAATGTGATTACGATGGTTATTGCTTAATCCAAAGTCAGTTATTCGCTATATGTAACTACTTTTAGCTTGCATATCCTTATGAGATAAACAGCAGACTAGAGTAAATTCCTTGTTTATTACTAACATAAATTCATTGCGACACATTTTTGTCCTGAACCTATATACATGGTACTATTATTGTTTTGTTTGGGTCAATGTGCACATAACAACTCCTTTTTTTCTCCTACTCACAATAAATATATTGCACAGTCTCTTTAGAATATTTCTTGTCTTGACTAGTCATGTAAAACTTGGCCTGCTATATTTTTATTTTGTACACTAGTAGCTATTTCACAACTACGCGAATAGTTCGTTTTATAACAATTCAAAGATGCACTTTATTGCTACTTTTTTTCTCTGCTTTCAAAGAGGATGTAGACTACAGAAGTACAATCAGAAAGTGTTTTGAGTGCTATGAATTCAGTCCTTATAACTTTATATAGACCTGTTTTTTCTTCTTTTTTTCTTCTTACAGTTCTTCTTTACGTATAATTCTAAAATCCGGCCTGTCAAAATTAAATCAGAAACGCAATTATACTGGGCTTAACTACAAGAGGGTGAGTCACACATGAAACTACATGTAACTGCTTGCAATTGATAAAAACAGTCTAGGATCTAATGAATGGAGGAGAAGAGTATGAATTCTTTGAATTTCGTTGTAGATGTCAGCGACACTTGGCCGCTGTTTGGGGTTATAATGAAGCATAGCTTGAATCAGCCTTCTTCTTAACGGCGAAGAGATAAAAGGCTCGCCATGAGGAAGATTTATATTTGGATTTAAACTCAGTGCCTTCCCAAAGCCATACTTTTTGCCAAAGCCATACTTTTCGCCATTAACAGTAACCATTCCAACGAAATATTTCGCACCTTTGAAAATTACATAGCTTAGTGTTTGAATAACGTAGAAAATGGCACCGAGAGAGAAAATATCCGCCTTTTCCGTATAGTGGCGAACAAAAACTTCAGGTGCCATCCAAAGTTCTGTGCCCAAAAATGTGCGCATGTAATACCGTGACGCTGTCATGTAAGACACAGAATCTTGATCTGATGCATATTCTCTTGCGAGGCCAAAATCTCCCAACTTGATCGAATCTGTCGACGTAAGAAGGACATTTTCTGGTTTCAGATCCCTATGAACGAAACCATTTAAGTGCAGGAAACCTACGGCGTCGGCCAGCTCGCTCATCCATCGTAGTTTGAGGCTTTCGGTGATGTTTCCCTTGGCTAAACGGCTATTGAGGTTTCCTCCAGCGCAGTACTCCATGAGAATAAAGGCTTTTGAGCCAACGGATTCGACGTCATACAAAGTAACAATGTGATTGTGCTTTGCACACTTCAATATCTCAATTTCACTTTTTAGACTTGTACTGTTGTCTGATACAATTTCCTTCACAGCGAAGAGATTGCCAGTACCTAGCTCTCCCACCAAATAGACTTCGCCAAAGGCACCCTGGCCAATTTTACCCAACCGTGTAAATAGTCTACCGCCTATAGCAAGCGGTTGTTGTGTGACAGGTATAGCGCCCATAGTCGGTAGTGGTTGTTGTAGGCCAGTAGCGACCATAGTCGGTAGTGGCATAGTCGG